CCAGACAGGTACGTTCATACTCAGACAGGTACGTTCATATCTCCTGTTTTAGAGGCATTGGATCTGCAGTTCTGTTGATTAGTACATATGGTACATATATACCATACCAGTTACGTGACACTTAGCTGTGTGGATTTAGAAGACAGGGCAACTGAGTCACTATTGTAAAAGTCAGTCCTGAATGGATCGGTTGGCCATCGGAAATTTTTGAAAACCTCTCCGAAAAATTGTTTGATACAGTGTTCACATTTCTGCTTGTTTCACTAAACTCCTCATCCTCATCTCCCTCGACTTTAGTGGCAATTGGATCATTCAGAAAAGTTTATGTGCACAGAGCACAGCACAACATTAGTCGTTCATCCTTGCTACCGCATGCGAACCCCAACCTGCCTTCGGTAAACAACGACACCAATCGATCAATCAATAACATAATAATACATGCACCCAAAAACAATGGCTTCTAGTGAACGAAGCTTGTGCTGCGACGAAAGCGAAAACTCGTCCAACAAGTCTTCGTCAGTTGTGCCATTGCCATCTTCTTCTGGTACAGAAGTATTATGGCGACAGCACCCGAGACAAGCTCGAATGCGAATAGGAAGAAAAAATATTTCATTGGCAAGCGATGCATTTGTATCGGCTCTGATTTCGTTCCTGTTGCTGTATCTATCGTGTTGCTGTTCTGGATTCGGTCCTGTCGCCTCATCGACGTCTCCTAGCACCCGAGAGCACCACATCCTAAAGATGACACCAGACATTGCCACGACCACTCTCGCAGCGGCCGCCACGGATGGAACCGATCCCGAGGAGCACTGCGCCGAGAGCAACAACAAAAATCACTCCGACGAGGACAATGGCTTTGCGACCGCCTGCTGCCAGGGGGAAGCAACCGGCACAGCGTACACACACATCGAGACCCGGTTTGTCCTCCTCGAAACCAGGCACCCCGGAAACGTTGGGGCCTCGGCGCGGTCCATGAAAACCATGGGCTTCAACGACGGGCTGGTCCTGATCCGGCCGGGTGACGATCGAGTCCTAGGACGAAAGAAATGCAAAGAGGCGGCCAGCGGAGCGGGCAACGTCCTCGAGGGCGCAATTCTCGTACTCAATGACGAAAACGAAAACGATGGAAACGGCGGTAACAACAACAACAATGCTACGAGTCTCGTGGACAAGGCCATGGAACTTGCGTTTGCTGCCCGGGAAGAACAACCAAACGACAACGACCAACACGAAATCCCGACCAAAGTCGACAGCGAGAGAGATTACCCCTTGACAACAACAACTACGATTGTATGTGGGACGGGAATGCCCGTCGACATGGGCCGAGAGCGGGTTGCCCAGCGATACGTGGAGCCACGAATCTTCTTTGACGAACTGCTCCGAAGGAAGGAGCCGCTGCGACGAACCACCGCCACAACTGCAAGCAGCAGCAGCGCGAACCACGCGAACACAACCATGGAAACCACCAAGTCCGTGGCACCGGCAACCAACGAGTGCGAGCGGCACGTGCTCCGGATCGCCTTTCTGTTTGGGAACGAAAAACACGGAATGACCCCCCAGGACACGGAAAAGTGCGACGTGATGCTCGGGATCCCCACCAACCCGGATTTTGGTTCGTTGAATTTGGCGACGGCCGTTCAGATTATAGCCTACGATTGGAGGCAGGCTCTGGGTGGCTTTCCGTCTCCGGCGGATTAAAGCTCGTGAAACACACCCTCGCGGATCTGCTCATGCGAGACTGTCGGAGCATTTCACTACGAGCTCGGGCCTGCGCGATGCATTATAGTCAATTCATTTTAGGGTCCATTCATCCAGCATGGTGGTTGAAAAATGCATAAATCTAGAAGAACTCTCCGGTATCCTTACCCATGGACACCATGGCAAAGACGAAAAAACAGGCGGCGATTTCTTGCCCGAACCGGCACACCGAGCCTCCATCCGAGCGCCAGATCGCGCCGTTGCTCGGGACTAATCTCGTATCCAAAACGCGTATTTTTTTTGCAGAAACGAGGACCCGTCGGATGCATCCGTTTGGTTACAGCTCGTTTTAAAAAAATGGGATGGGGAGTGGCAGCCTACCGTCCCTTTCGTGTCGGTGAAACCCAGCTGCTTACGTTCCATTAGATTGAATACTGTGTAACATACGTTGGTGTTGAAAAATACTTTAGAGCAAAGGGCTGCTTTGAATACAACTAATACCTACATGGTTTGATGGCACGGATTTAACGGCTTTGATCTTTATTAGCATTCCAATCAAAAATATAACAAGTTGTCTTTCACATATTACTATACAGTACTACTCTACTCCGAGCCGATGCTTCTCATTTCTGAAATCCCCACTCGATCGCCTCTAAGCGTGACTCTTCCTTTCGCAAGTTCTCTAGTTCTAGCTCGTCTGCCTTTAATCGCTCTTGCATCAAGACGAGGCTTCGTTTGTCTCGTCCGACCTTCAGCTCTACCCGGGCACGCTGTTCGCTCACGGTCGGTTCCAGCCGGGACACGCTCGTTGATGTGTAGTAGGAAATCTTGTCTTTGTTGCTGCCATTTGCAGCAGCTGTCACCATAGCTCCTTGTCGATTCTGCATCGCTGAAACGGGGGGAGACGAATTGTGGCCCGCCGCGTATCCCAGGGCAACACAGGCGGACAACGTGGAGGCAGCAAGAATAGCCCCCACGTTTTGCGTCGCCTTCGAGACCGCGCCGTCGCGCAGTTTCTCCAGTTGTTTCACTCCGAGGCCAACCGATTCGTCCTGCACCGCATCGATCTGCTCCAATTTTCTCGCTGGTCTCGTCGTGCCATTGTCATCGGTCCGAGGACCGTGGATCTTGTTTGCCTCACAGCGGGGGAAACCAAGATCGTAGACGACTCCGCCTGTCGATTCTGCATAGGACGATGTGTGCAATGTCATGAACGAGGAAATGTAAAAGTCATCGAGGGTATCCTTGGTGAGACCTTCGGAAGAGGAAATTCTCGTGGGATCATCCCCGAGGGTCCCGGCATATTTTAAAGGAAACCAAATCTTTGATCCGTTTGGAAGTGAGCCTCCCATCATCATCGCGTCGTCGGAGGACTTTACCCACCAGTCAGATAATAGGGTAGGGGAGGGACCGCAGTCTATCAGCAGAGAATCTTTTGATAGACTGTACCATTCCTTGTATTTCTTCTCGAGTACTTCTTCTGGCCATCTAGCGAGCTCAGGGATGGAATGTCGTAGCTGTGTCCAAAAGGTAAATGCATTCGTTCCAACAGTATATCGAGGCACAGAGTCTTGGAGTGCCCAGTCTTCGCGTAGACCCCATTCTTGGTCGATTGTATTCGCTTGGCTGCCTTCTATTCTTTCTTTCGTGCTCGTAGTGGAAGACGTTGGCGATTCTTCGTTTTGGTATTGGAGTCGGCTACTGGTGATCCCCCGGCTGTTTTCGCTCAGAAGCGACGACAGAGATCCCTTCGGGTGAACGCCAAATCCATCGGTAGATGTTGGCAGAAACGCCAATGTGATGAACGCTAGCAAATATGGTGCTGCTGATTTTGTTAACATATTGAGTCCGGCACAATGTCTCCCTCTCGAATAATGATTGTCTTTGGTTCTAATACTTGTGGGAACATCTGGTCGTCTTTCGATTTTGCACGAGATTGTTACTGCGGTGTAGTTTTCGTTGAATTGTCATATTATTGGTGGTCTAATACTACGGGTCGTTGAATTCGAAAGATACTTGATTGATGTGCATATCGTGTCGACCTTCCCCATTCCGAACGTCTGCCAGCTGCAATAGGTTGACCGACTCGTGAATACCCTACTTCGTGTGAGGATCGGAACCCTTTCTGTACCGCAGGACACAACAAGTACGAGTACGAGTACGAGCACTGCTCCGTACTGATAGAACAAGAACCCTTTACTGTATTATTTGTTTTCGATACAGTATGTGTGTTTCCATTTTTTCGCTTGCGTGCATTGCGCGTGTTCTAATCGTGATCGACCTCGGTTTTGATCGCGCGAAGCAGCCTCCTCGACGGCGGTGCATCCCTCACTTTTTGAAGCACAGGGAACAAAACCGATGTTCTGTGTGTGGGTCACCTACTCCCGCATTCTTCCGTTTTCGTTCTCACCTCGAGGCTAGAAATGTCATCATCATCTGACGATTTTTTCGTTATTGCCAACGTCGCCCCCATTTAATCATATTGGCATTGTCGTCATCGTTTTTGGCTGCTTTGTTCTTGTGTTCTGTATCGATATTGCGGAGTCAGCGGAAGACATCTACAACAAATTATTCGTATTAAATGCAAACTCTATATTCTCAGTCTATTCCAAGTCATCACATAAATAGGAAAAGAAAGTTTTAGCTTACCAAAAATGAAACTCTCGCTGTGCCTTATCCTGACCTCTGTGGCCTCCACGCTTCCTTCTAGTACAGCGTTTTCGGCATCTAAGCTGCAAGCTAGAGCGGCGAACCATCGTGCTTTGAAAACTAGCCGGATTCCATCCTCGTCCAGCCTCGATGCGTTTCGATTCGGGTCGGCATCTGCAGTGGAAGAATTGAGTGTGGAGTCATCCGGTGACGATCGGATCAATGATTTGCTCGATCCCCTGACCGATGTGTTCGTTGCCACACTCCGTGTAGGGACCTGCGCCCTGATGATTCACCACGGAATCGACAAGGTCCAGAACGTCGAGGGATTTTCGGCAAATGTTGTGGCCAAATTCTTCGGCTTCCTCCCCGGAGATCCGGCCTTTTGGACCCTCAGTGCCGCGGCCACCCAGATCGGAGGCTCTGTCTTGCTGGCCCTCGGAGTCCTCGCCCGGCCCGTAGCTCTGAGCATGTGTGCGACCATGGCCACCGCAGTTGCATTCCATTTGCTCAACACCGGTGGGGAAGGCTTTCCACTGGCAGTGGTACCGCAACACTCCTACAACTACGAGCTGGCAGCGATGTATGTTGGGGTTTTGGCTTACTTTTCGGTGGCCGGAGCTGGGGCCTACTCTGTCGACGAGCAAATCCTGGGCGGAGAACTGAACTTGTACCGTTCGCTCCTCCCGGGCAAGGAGACCATTGGAAGCGAAGGAATTGCGAACAGTGCTTCCAAGAAGAAGGCAAACAAGAACAGTCTCGAGGATGCATACGTGAAGAACAGTAAGGAGTTCAAGCTCCCTTGGTCAAAATGAACAGGAATTGTTGTTGAATGCCTCTCCTGTATATCTCGTAAGTAATTTGTACTTCCAATAATTGAATCGGAAGTAAACGACGATGATAATGTATATAAGAAAATGCTTGACAGCTTAATTTGAGTCGAAATTGCCGGCTGTATTCATACTAGGTATGTTAAACTACTAGTAGTAGTATTGCTATTTGAAGTATTATTGTGAAAAGAATGAAACGATTATTCTTGTTACTGTTCGTATACAGTGACAAGATTAATTACTTCATGCATGCTTTTTCACTACCAAAATGGAAGCATCATTTTTATATCACTGCCACCGCCATTTGGACTAGTATTATCTAATATTGTGGTCGGATGGAAAAAAGAGAGATATGCGAATGGAAGGTTGTGTTAGACCAGAAAAATTGTGTACGGTACGGTACAAGAATGAAAAAAATGCAAGTTGTTGAGTCTGTCCTTCGCTCTTAGTGTACAAGTAATATCCCTGCATACGGTACAATATGCTCACTTGATACTTGAGCATACGTACTCGTACCTTGAGCCTAGCAAGTACAGTTCGGCACTTGGTCCTAGCGTATGAATTTTGAATATCATATCACTAACATCACTAACCTACTAGTATTGCACAATACATACCTCCGATACGGTTCGTAAGAACCTCTTCTTTGCCTACGTACCAAAAATGAAAAAAAATCTCATTCAAAACAGTTGCTTCTAGTTTTGGTCTCTACGAAACCATAAACCCACCATGGCAAAACAGAACATGACCACAATCCCTTGCAGGATCCGTCCGAGGAGAGGGATAGCATCGAAATTATTGCTTTTGGTGCCCATGGCAACAATAGCTGCCGTGATGGCAGCGGCCAAAAAGGCTCCTCGAACGCCGGGCTTCGTTCGCGTTTGCTCCGGTCAAGAAGCCACCGCTCGTGTGGGTGGGAGGAGAGTCTTTTCCTTTGTTGGCCCTCCGAACGACGACAGAACCCCGCTGCGGAACTCGCGCAAAAGATGGACGAAAACAACGCCTTTTGTTTTTCGGAACGAGGGAGTGTCCCCGACTGCCGGGGCCTCCGGAAATACCAATCGCAATGGCATCGGTGCATCGTCGTCTTTTCGGTTGTTCTCGTCGTCGGAGGCAGGGCCAACTCCCGCCTCCCAGCGCAGCCTTGCCAGGGAACCGCTGGGCGGTGACAAKGACGACGTGTTTCGGTCTCCGTACCGCGTCTACGAATGGGAGCAGACCATCAAGAAATCTCGCTTCATCGGCATTGCTCGGTACGCGGAAGACTGGAAGGACGCCTCGGACTTTGTCGCGGACGTGAGGACCCGGATCCATCCCAAGGCCCGGCACTGGTGCTTTGCCTATCGGGGAAGCGTAGTGGGAGCGAGCGGGAGCAGCGGCGAGCACGGGAGCAGCGACGACAACACGGCTTCCCTCGGCGCAGCGAGTGGCTCGGCGTCGACACCGACCATCACCGAGCGCGCCAGCGACGACGGAGAGCCCTCTGGAACGGCCGGCACGCCCATTCTGAACGCCCTCCGAACGGAGACCGACGCCGGGGGCGGCCTCGTCGACCTCGTCGTCGTGGTGGTGAGGTACTCGGGGGGGATCAAGCTTGGCGCCGGGGGCCTGATCCGGGCCTACGGGGGAACCGCAAGGGAGGTCCTCCGGGAGGCCGAGCAGGTCGAGGTGATCCCGAGGACCATGGTGTCGGTCGGTTCCGTGCAGCCCAGGTACGTGGGGGCGGTCTACGAGCTCGCGGCGCGACACGGGGGAACCGTGGTGGAAGCGACGGAAGACGGCACCGGTTTTTCCATCGCGTGCGATCTCGATGCTTCCCCGAAAATCACGGAGGGACTCCTGGATGCCACCCGCGGGAGCGTGGTGATTCGGTAGCAGTGCGGTGCGGTGCAGAGCCGTGCAGCGGGCGAGGCCGAGTCGGTTCGGGCGTGGGCAGCAACGAAACCATCCGACTGCCTTCGCATTGCACCCCATGGGCGACACGAAGAAGGAAGGAGACAATCAATGAAGGAATCATCACGCACACAATTTGCGTCAGTGTACTGCGATTGAGATCACTTGCCAATGCGATGAAACATGCGGAATAAAAATCCAATGTTTGGTCATGCACGTTTTGTTTCGGGGCAAGAAACACATCCAAATCGGTGCGGCACACAAATAGAAGACGAGCTAACTACTTCTGCGTTGCAAGGCACACCATACTATCCAATCGTTTGTAGACCATCGCGGCAAAAGGCAGACCCCATATACTTTAACAACGAAACGAAACAAAGCAATTCAATTCTTTTGTAGAACAACGTAGCAAAAAACAGACTCCTTAGAATTAAACGAAATTTCGAAAGTGTTGTCTAGTCTTTGGTGGTGGGATCGGTAGACGAACCGAATCGTTTCGAATCGATCCATCTTCGCAAGCCCGGAGTTGTGTTGGTCCTGCCACTGACCCGTCGTGTCATCGACCACAACGCTGTAATAGTACTGTATGAAAATCAAATTAGTTTGTGGTTTGGCAATCGGTTCGGGACAGAGGCGGTGCGCAAGATGTGGTGAACATGTGGCATGAGTATTCAAACCGGATGCTTTGGGCCGAAAGCTCCAACAATGGACACCTTAGTTCTTGAAGATCATGTCTCCGTAGTTTCCAAAGTAAATGTCCTGGGTGATGATACCCATGAAGGCAACCATAGCCAATCGTCCGTTGTTGATTTCCTTGTTTTGGTAGTCAACCCATCCCTCGTCCGTGTTGTCGACCCAGTAGGCGGCTCCCAAGAGATCGCCCGGTACGTATCCGGGGCGGTCCTTGATCTTCTCCGCGAGCCACTCGATGGCACCGCAGCCCAGCACGAACTGGAGCCAGCCAACGGCGGGGAGTTCCTTGGCGGCCTCAAGGGGGTTGTTGCTGAGGGACGAGTTGAAGGCGGGGTGGACTCCGGCGGCGTTGAGGTACCATCCGAGGCAGGCAGCCATGGCGACGCGTCCGTGCTTGAGCTCGGCCTCGCGGTACATGTTCATGGTGGCATCGTCCTTGTTCTTGGAAAGACCGATGGGGTCAAAGAAACCCATGGGTGCGGTGATTCCAATCACGTTCTCGTCCTTCCAGGCGGACAGAGACGTTGTCTTCTGTTGTTGCTGGGAAGGAGCAAAGGCGGCGCTGGAGTTCGAAAAGAAAAGCGAGCAAAAGAAAAGCAACCAAGCAAGACAATGCATGGATGAGACGAAGCGCTGGCGATGAATCAAGACCGAGAAAAGGATAGGGCGAAAAAGACCGAGAAGAATCGAACAGATCAGAACAGACAACAACGGAGCAGACTAGACTCGAGTATAGAAACCAGCCCAAAGCTCATGATACTTTTCGAAGCGGATTCTTTTTTGGTATCTCGTATAGTTCGGGTGTCTAACTGGTTCTCAAAAAGAACCAGGAGCACGGAAGCTTGGTTGCCGCGGACCACCTATGAAAGAGGTTACGCACAGAACATGCGGATTTAGTCCGCCTATCGAACACGAGATACATTTTCTGTATTATTCACGGACGGAGTGCATTTTGGAGAATTCATTCGTTTCTGCCTTCTTATCTCATCTGATCCGAACTGTAACCATCCCATCCCCAGTCTCTTGTCTCTACATGATGTTATCGCGAGAAGTAGCATCCGTTCCCCGAGAATAGTTCATGCTAAGTTTTTGCCCATCGGTCCTCTTGACTGTTGTTCTTTTCTAGCTACGGAGTGTCTGGCTGATGCACATAAGGGACTAACATATCTATACTTACGCAGAGCCGACCATGGCGAAGAGGATGGCGGATTTCATGGTTGAGTATAATACAGGGTTTTCTATGTAGTGGGCGTCTAGGGTGTCCGAACAGGCGTGCAAGACTTCGTCTAGACCTAGATCGGAGATGATGCCTTCTTGTTGATGTTGCAGTGCGCTTTCCAACAGAACGTAAATCCGCACTACTGTACGTACTGTACGATTTGGCTCCGTAAGAGCCCGACTGCACGAAACAGCGCTTCTTTTTTCCCATAACATCGGACCGCATTCGTACTGGAAACATACCGTACGAATGCGTGCAACCAATTCGAAATCTTCAAGACGGACAGAAGGAAAGACGTCCAAGTTGAAACTCGGAGCCCCCGCGATCTTTTTTGTTCGCTCCGTTGCGGTCTGTGGTGACGTATGCGGGATTCGTTCCACCGATTCGTGAATTGGAAATCGACCCCTTCGAATCGCACTAATGTGAGTCGTATTCTCCACGCAAGAAAAGTGAGAACAGAGTGTATGTTAATGGTAGTCGTCATACGTCTTCTAAGTACGTATATATGTCCCAGACATACATGCACGGGATTCAGTTTTTGTTTCTTCCTTCTTTGCCTCGTCCGTTTGTTGTTTCTTTCCTCTGATTGTTTTGGGGTTTTGGCGTTCAGGTATGACAGTACTATTCGTACGGTTGAAGTACCGTAGCATGTGAAATAAAAATAGTGAGCCCACGCAACGATTTTCTCGGAAACTTCGATTTCGATTTCGATTCATCAATCAATCAATCAATCGTTTCATTCCGCTACTGCTATTCACATCATAGCACTGACAACACTGATAAATCCATACCACAGCCATTGTACTATAATGATCTACTAATTTCTGAGTTGCAGGCGGCAGCAAGGTTGACGCGGATTTGCTTCTCGACCGATCTGTCGCAACATCGCCGTCTCATACCGTACCGTGGGCGTCGCGTCGCGTCGCAACGCAACGCAACGCGATGCGATGCGATGCGTGCTAGAAGATCTCATTCATTCCAGACCGGCACTCTCGTGCATTCAGGCATTCTGCTCATTCGTATGTTTGCTCGATGTATCCGAACATACCAAGACGATGTCCCTTAAAGAGTCTCGGACGGAGCTCTCAAGGTCAAAGATGTGCTTCTGAAAAAGTCAAGTTCAATTCAGGGTTAATTCAAGGGTAAGATTTCCAAACCTAGTATTTTTGTGGATTTTGGTTTGATTGGTTTCTCTTGGAAAAATTGACAACAGTCTATTATATGTTTTAAATAAATTGGATCCCCTTGATGGAACAAGGCGTAGCTTTAATACTCATCTTCATCTTCCTCTTCATCATCGTCGTCATCCAACAACAATGCCACCGGGTATTCGGTTCCGAAATAGGCTTTATCCATGTCTTCCCTAAAATTGACAACGCGCCCGTATCCCCGAGGATGAGAATCGTTTTGTTTCAATTCCATCCCCGGAATGTTCAAGTTTGCTATATGGTTTAGTAATTGTCCAGAACCGACCTCTTCCATCGATTGGAAGACGTTGAAAGTGACGTGTATTTGGCCGTCGTAGGTAGCAACGATCGTAGTAGGGGCACCACTGCCGTCCTCGTGATCCTGCGACACCACGACGAGACAACCATTGCCGACGCTTCGCCGATAAATCTCTGGATTGGGACCACTTCCTTCTGGAAAGACAGAAAAGTCGGATTGTTGACTTCCAAACACGAAGTCGAAAAACTCCGAGCACGAAGAAAAAAGCTTTGCTTCGGCAGGAGAAGAAAAGGACGGAGTTGGTTTTAGGACCACTCTTGAGGGATCGAGCAAGGCAGAGGTTCCGTCGCTTAGAAAATAAACTTTGTATCGCCCGTCGTGGTGGACGCCATTGATTTGACCCTCGTAAAAGAGCTCAAGGTCAAGATGCTCCTCGCCATCGGCCACAACAAAGCTACCAAAAGGTATTGTCTCGCCTGCCAATAGTGCTTCTTTGTCGTATACGAGCACATCCTTTCGTTCCACAACCTCGGGATAATCAACGCCGTTCGATACCACATATCCCTCATCTACCATTTCAACCACTTTGCCCACACACCAGTCATGATCCTCGATGCGATGGAAAAGAACCGTTGTGCCAGGATCGATGTTGTCATCGGGAACCTGTGGCACGCCCTCGTATTGCAACATGGCCTGCCCTCCCAGTGGCCGTTGGTCAGACCATTGAAGTTCTGCAGGTTCCAAGTCGTAGTCGGAAGGGGTTGCCCACTTGCTGGGTTGGTAATCAGGAATATGGGAGATTGCTCCTGTTTTCGTCTCTACGAGGAGGACTTCTCGAGAGATTTCTCCACGAATCGCTTGAAAGGATGAGACAAGTTGGTCGTAAAACCGTGGGTTTCCTGCAGACAGGACACCCATGGTCCATACGTCCGACGAAGAAGGGTCGCGGAAGGCAGCCGTGGCGTGGTACAACGGATTGAACTCGACGTGATCGGTGCGAAAGCGCTCGAGAAGCTGATACTTCCACGAAGACCAGAAATCCTCCAGTCGACTCTCAACGGTGGATGGTGCCAACACGACATAGTCGTGCGATAGCCATCGATAGCTTCTGGGATCCGTTACGAATACCTTCTTCGTTATCTGTCCCAGCTCGCGGGGAGCTCTGGGATCCATCACGATGGCTTCGATTTTGTTCTGGCTGTTTCTCGACAAGAACGAGTCCTGGATGCGTTGCACCATTTGTTCCTCGCACTCCGAGAGACTGGCATCGTTGGGTTCCGTCGTAGCAGGGCAGGCTTCGAACGAAACCACTTCCGCACTGCCATAGTCGACATCCTCGCGGACCCGGCATCGAGAAGATTTGTTGGGACACAGCAAGAACACTACCGAACCTTTCTTCCCCGTAATCCTTGCCAGAATGTTTTGTATCACGGTTTCGATGCCATCCATTTCGTTCCCCTCGGATGATTTGGAACTGCTTTCCGAAAGGCCATCACCGTCGCACCACGACGAAGGAACAATCCTGTCTTGCGGCTGTTGAAAGTTGGACAATCCGAGCATTCCTCCGGTAGTGATGAGAAAGGAAGACGTTGAATCACCTGTAGTGGTACCCCCAACAGCCTCGACCAGCTTGGATACGGCAAGTTTGTGGTTCGAGATGTCGTTCCACAGCTGCAGATCCATCGAACAATACCTGTTTGCCGGATACGATCGGAGTCCTAAATACCCTTCCTCGAAGGAAAGCACCATGGAACTCGTCAACGACGAGGAGGAGGAACCGGTGGAGATGGAATGGATTCGAATGCCGGTAAACCCGATTTCCTCCAGGGCCTTTTTGGCAGTGGTTTGCACCAGGGAAGCATCATCGAGCGCCAGCGTGACGTTCTCGGCCTCGATGGCCACAAAAATTCCCTTGCTGGGGAGCACGTGGACGGGGTCGGTGTTGACGGTTTGGTCACAGATCCTGTCGGGTGGAACAAGGTTGTTCCGATAGTTTCCCCACATGGAAAAGTGGTCGTTGCTTCCAACGTTCGGTTCGTACCACACCAGTCCCTCGAGTCCGTGGTCTACGCGCTGGTGGTTGGCGAAATCGATCGTGTCGCTGGCCATTGTGAAATACTGGGAACAGGTGTGCGGCATGCCAAAGACGTTCAGATCCACCGTGTATCTCGCAAAGTCGACGACGCTGTGGTGGGGATAATCTTCCTGGCGGACCAGAATCCCCTCGGGTTTTAACAACTTTGCCATGTAATCCACCAGCCGTTCGTTTTGGTCCCCGACGCGGAGGGCATCGAAAATCTCCACCACGAGATCGATGAGAACCAGATCGAAGGTTCCAAAGAATTCTTCCGGCGGCAGCAGCGAGAGACTTTTTGCGGCATCGCCAAACCACCAGTGCACCCGTTCGTCCTCGAATTTTGGCTGGATTCCATAGTGTCGGAAGGAATCGCGGAGCACCATCTGGTCGAGTTCCATTCCTGTTTTGTTGGGGAGAACATGGGCGATGTGTGCAACGACACCAGCAGAAGAAACCGAGGCATTTTGCGATTGGTTCGTTAGAAAACGCGCGCAAAAAAGGGACGGGTGCCGGACCAAAAGTCCTCTTGGTCGTTGGACGAACGCACAACACAACACCCGATCGAGGGCAAACACACACCAACACACACGAGGATAAATGCGATGACACAATACTCACCAATGACCAGTTCGATCGAATCGTACCGCAAGAGCTCGTGGAGCAACACCAGGTCTCCTCCTCCCACGTACAGGACCCGTTTCAATCCGTCCCTGGGCAGGAAACTGGCGGGATAGTGGATGAGGATTTCGTGCACGTGTGGCCGAAAGGCCAGGCAGGAATGCAGGACGTTGTTGAGGTGGAGGCAGGTGTCCTGTTCCCGCTTTGGCGGTTCTTGTTCTTGGTCCCGATGTTCTTGGTGGTGCCTCCCCCGGATGGACCCGCCCCCGATGTAGGACCGGGTCCACTCGAGCTCCGCGTAGAAGGTCTTGGAGGTTTCGTAGGTGTACTGGGCAAAGAGGTTGGTGCACTCGTGGGACGCGATGGCACCGTTGTAATCGATCGGGTCGTCGGCCCGCACCCCCAGGTCGTCGTAGGCGCTGCGGCCCTTGGAGGCACCGGCCCGCTCGGAAGGGCACGACGGTTCGCTGCCGTTGCTGCCGTCGGCGTCCGGGCAGGCACCGGCGGCCCCCGCGGCAGGGGCAGCGGTCGGGGCACCGGCGGACCGGGCCGGTCGGGAGTGCGACAACAATACCCCGAGGGATTCCATCCACAGCTCGTAGTACTCGTAAATTTCGGCATTGCCGGAAGCCTCTCCGGTGGCAAAAGCCGTGCGGTTTTTGCCTTCGTCGCCGAGCAGAGCGGCCTTGAGCTCGGCTTCCAGCCCCCGCAGCCTCAGGTACTGGGCCTGGAGCACGGCCCTCTGGGTGAACCGGAGCGCCTCCCCCGAGTCCCTTGGATTGGCTCCGTTGTCGTTGTCCTTGTCGTTGTCGCCGTCCTCGGTTTCGTCGTCCTCGCCGAGGAGCGTCCGGTTCGCCCCCCAGGACTTGTGCACCCACTCGATGCGCTGGGTGGAGGGATAGTAGTCCCACACCAGGTGGTCCTCGTAGGGATCCAGCGAGTCCTGGAGCTCGACGTAGACCAGATCGTGTCCCTCCTGGTCGTGCATGGTCTGGGCCCAGAACCGGTAGGAGGCGTCGGCGCCCCGGTCGGTTTCGTCCCTGCGTTCGGTTTTGCTATCGCTTGTTCCTTCCCCGGCCACGTGCACTTGCCCGGTCGTCGCAAAGCGCTGGGCCACCGAGTGAAAGGGCAGCACGATGGCCTCCCCGGCACGGATGGTCCGGGAGGCACGCAGCTGGTAGGCCCTCGCGTCGTAGTCCGTGTCGTATTCGTCGGATTCCTCCTTCCTCCTCCGGACCGTGCGCTTCGTGTAGGCCTCGTCGTCCACCAGGACCTCCGAGTGGACGACGTTGAAGGTTTCCGGGTCCGACGCCCGGGGGATCCAGTGGTAGATCGGGACCATCCGGCCGTTCCAGCCCCGTTCCAGGACGGTTTCCAGCGTGGACCGAAAGGTGGTCGGGTCCGGGTACGAAAAGACGGGATCCGGGCCCTTGCCATTGCCGGGCGAGGCCGGGTCCGCGCAGACTTGTTCTTCGGACCCGCTGCTGTCGGGTCCCCACAGCCCCAGGGTGTTTGGCTTGGGTTCCAGCTCGTTGCCCAGGACGGAAGAAAGGACGTTGAGCTGCTCGGTCGACCACCGGGGGCCGTGTTTTTGCGTTTGCCTTTGCCTTTGCCCCTGCCCGTCCTCCGGCTGTTTTCCGTCTTGGAGCGCGAGGATGGAATCGACAAAGGGACGGACAAACTTTTCCAGCGACGGCCGGACCCCGGGCCGGTCCTTTTCCTCGCTCTCGGGATAGGCGTAGGTCCTCGGGTCCAGGACCTTGGCGGCCACGTCGCACGGATGGAGCTGGCGAAAGGCCGGCTTCTTGCGCTTGAACAAAAAGGCGTTCGAGGGGACGCTGACCAGGAGCTCCCCCTCCGGGATGCTTTGCTTGGCCACGAGGCGGGGGGCCGTGCTGTGTGCATTGTCGGTGGTGTTGTTGCTGCTGCTATTGGTGGTGTTGTTGCTGCTGCCGGACGCCTTGTCGAGCCTCAGATACCGGTGGGAAAAATAGTATCCGTTTTGGAAGCGGTAGTCGTCGAGCTTTGCCCGCAGCTTAAAGTCCCCCGGGTCCTCGTCGATGTGCTTCCTCCAGGCCTCGACGTAGTTCTTCTCTTCCGCGTGGTGCGCCCGGTTGCTCAGCCACAAGAGGACGACGTCGTGAACGTCCGGTGCGTCTGCGTCGTACACCCAGTGCTCGAGTTCGTTGCTGTCCTTGTCCTTGTCCTTGTCCTTGTCATCGTCATCATAGATGTCCTTGTCTTCGTCTTGGTCTTCGTGGTCGGCCATCGCCATCGTTTCTGTTTCTGTTTCTGTTTCGACCCCCTCGGGCGTCAGAGTCAATAGGGAGTCCTCCATGCGATCGTCGATGCCCGCGTCTCGGTGGTAGGGCAGGTCCATCTCCAGCGCCGAGGCAGAGGCATCGATGACCAGTTTCGAATTGGAAGCAAAGGAACCCTCGGCCAGGAGCACCACCGCCAAAAGGGTGAGTGCCTTTGCCATTCTCTTGCCGAGCCGAGGAAGGGGCGGTGGCCCCCGCATCCTCTTTCGCTTCCCGCTGTGCAATGGGTGAAGCATGGTTCGACCAATGCAATACAGTGAAATACTTGACTTGGCTTGATCCAAAATTTCCTGGTTCTGTCCTGTCCTGTCTTTMTTTCTTTCCTTTGTGCGTGTCTGTGTACGCTCTCGGGTCTGCCTCGTCGTTTCGGGGCCTCTCGCCTTTTGTGTGAGTGCAGTGCGTTGTCCCTTTTTGCCACCGTCGGGATGGGTTGCTGTTGTTGCCGGGAGGGGTAGGAACCGAGGCACGGGGGCATCGAGTGCACGTGTGATGTGCAAGATATACATACAATAAGAGTATTGCGATACAGTCGTGAAGGATGGGGTACTGCCGTACGTACGAGCACGATGCGTACAGTGCATCCCGTACGGTACGGTACGACAAGCAGCGAAAAGGCCAAAGACCGACACCAAAAATTCGAATGCACGGATTCCGGACTTTTTTCGGGTCCTTCCCCAAGCAAACCCACCCGTCGGATGCGATGCGATCGCGACGGACGACTCACTCGGAACAGCCAACGGCTACACGTGCTCCAGGAATATCTACCGGGAGTACGCTGCGGTACGTACAGGGAACAAGGAACAAGAATCGGCCCGCCCCGTGCGCACCACCCCTTTCGTTCTGTGTGACATTTCTTCGCGGGATACAAAACATGTCCGGTGTCGTACGAGCACTCGTACGGTGCGGTACGGGTACGTACCGGTCCGTCCTTTTGGTAGCTCCCGAATGCGTGCCCCCAACGAGTCTGCCCGGCGGCCATAGGTTGGGGCGGGTGCGGCATCACAATAATTGTACAAGTATGTACGTACCGTACCGTACGGTACAACGCAACATTGGGTACGGTATGACACAGAACGAACTGTACGGTACCCGTACGAACTGTCTTTTGCGTTGGAAGCGGTCACAACACAATTCCCAAGCACCTAATTTTTGGCGCGCGAGCGTTGGGTGGATCGGAGGTGGCGGCATGTTTCGAATTTCACGAACCACCGCACCGGTGCGAATACGAGTACGAGTAAGACTTCCGTAGGGTAGTACGTTCGTTCGGGGTGCACGGTAAAAATGATAAGTAATACCAGTACGAGCACTTACTGTAAATACTTCGTACTATCTATCACGAAAACCGTTCGGCACTGACATTGACACGTGTGGGTTCAGTAGTACTTTGTACACCTGCATACGTACGTACGTTCCAAAGAGGTGTGTTTTGTGACGCTTAGCTTTCGCCGTGAGGAAGAAGAGGAAGGTATGTCCACGCACTTCTTTTTACTGTTGACCCGTAGCCCTGCCGGTATTTCTTGTTTCTAGTACCACCATCGACCATCCAAATCCTAACAACAACAACTACTACGTACTAAGAATAGGAACCGTACATACGAACGTACATGAAAATACTTCCTCCGTCCAGTAATAAATGAGTGTACCCTGTGCACCTAATCTAGTGAAATAAGAAGCTCAATACATGGCCAATTTGGATGGTTCTTTTTTTATTCTATTGATCTTGTTTCACACTATTCAAATGTGTTATGCCTTTCAATGTCCTACCATCACTAATAAACAAGGAATAACAGCACCAGGAGGCCTTCAAGAAACATGCCTATTTTTCCATCATATTATCGTCCTCAATAGTAGTATGATGATAATACTAGTGCTGTCAGTTGAGTTCTAGTACTAACAACCATTTAGATATGCTACTACTTGCACCTGATACTAGCTAAGAGTGAGACATTCTTGAGGCTGTAATTGTTGTCTTCAGTATGGAAAACTTTCTTCTTCTTGCATCAGTCATTACTATTGCTGTTCAAAAGAGGTGCCTGGTGGTACCATTGTCAATGCATGCAAACCTTAGTTTGTCATGGTGGTAATAGAATGTATCATTCTCATGTATGAAAAATAGAATAATTTTTATGCATGCACATGCCCATTTTTATCTAAAGTACTGATTCTACATGTTGCACACAGCAGTCATTTGTGGAATCCAACCGGTGCCAAAAAACTAAAAAACTGCTAATTTAACAGGGGACACTCAGTTGTGGACAGCAGAAATGGTCACAGAGTACACCCATTACTACTGGACAGAGGAAGTATTCATTTACCCCTAGAACCATGTTGCTTTCAATTGATTGGAAAAAAAAATTGATTTCAAGAAGAAGAAAAACACCAATTGGTCCTGCTGGATTCCCCCCAAGTAACCCCGGATTGGGTCTGAAAATTGTGATCCATTTTGATCACAAAAAATTTTGATCAAAAATTTAAATTTTGCTTGTTCTTCTTCTTCTTCTTGTGATCGCCAAATTCTTGCTTCTTGTTGTTGCAATCATGATGATTGATCACCACAAATTTTGTTGTTTGGCTATTGCATAGTATCCCAACATGCCGAGCACTAGCAGTACTACAGAACAGACAGGTTGTTGCTGTTGCTGCATGCAGAACAAGCTTACAGTCTATTGTATGCTGAGTAAGCATACGGTCTATGATGAATACAGCCTACAATCCAAATTTCAGCTTGTTCCGTTGAAATTTGGTGAGATAATGTGATAGCAACTGGCTCTTGGGTGATCAAATTTGATCACATTTTTTCAATCAATCTTGATCACATTCTTTGGAAAGGGGTAGTACTAGTACCACCATAGTCATTTATTTATTTTCTTTTTCACTACTAATCAGTGGGGGATCCCTGGAATCTATTTTTAAATCCCCCAGCAGTTCCTGCTGACAGACCCTTGGAGCTCAAGAAATTGGTCAGGGAGTGGTACAAATTTGCTGTTGTTTTTGGTATGGTACTACTGCTATTAGTCATAGTCATAGTCATAGTCATAGTCATAGTCATAGTAGTAGTAGTAGTAGTAGTAGTAGTAGTAGTAGTAGTAGTAGTAGTAGTAGTAGTAGTAGTAGTAGTAGTAGTAGTAGTAGTAGTAGTAGTA